ATAAAAAAAATGTCAGTGAAATGTAACTGAAAACAAAATACTTAGAATCAGCCAAGTACATGGGCTCTTGAGAGCATGGCTTCACTGTGTATTAGTTTGCACACTAATAAAATGAGCACAAATAATAATATCAACTTCATGGGGCTTTTACGGGAGTCAAAGAGATAATAAAGACACAGAAATTGATTATAAAGGAGTTGGGTACATAGTAGGCACTCAGTAAATGTTTGCATTTTTTTAATTTAAATGTCTTCTTGGCAATGTGACTTAAAAAAATCCAGAGAATTTAGAAATAATGCTTTCTTCTACTGAATTTGCTGGAGAAGAGTTTTGAACATACCATAGACTGTCAAGAAAACAAATAGGTCTGTCTAGGAGAAGGTGAAACCAAGTTTCTCCTTGGAGGGTAGGATTTTGAAGCTCTGACTCCCATACTTTGAGCACATGGCCAGGAGAGACTTGTCCTTGGAGAAGGACACCATGCTTGGAAGGGTGGAGGGACAGTGCAGGAGAGGGAGATCCCAGATGACATGGACTGATAGTGACTGGGGCAAGGGGGTTGATGTGTTGGAACTAGTGAGACTGGCTCAGGACAGGGCAGGCTTTAGAGATGCTGTACATGGGGTCACTCTGGGTCACAGGTGACTTAATAGCATGTAACAACAACTGAATTAGTTCAGGTTAGTTGTTACATAACTGTTGTATACAGGTGAGTCAGAACCAAGCCACAGCTGACCCTCTAGCAGGTTTTTTGGTTTTGGGGTTTTTTTATTCTTTTTGTTCCTTTTTTATTGTGATTTTAACTAAAGTTTACAGAAATGTTGGCTTTTCATTCATTCATTCATTGTTGCACATTTTCCTCTCTTCCCCTCCCAGTTCACTTTTTTTTTTTTTTTTGAGATTACAATTAGACTTCCTGTGTGTGGTTGGAGAAAAGGAGGCATCCCTGCAGTATATAGAAGCTGGGAGCCCTGATGTGGGGTGGGTAGGGCAGGGAGAGAGAGACTCCAAAACCTGCCAATTACACCAGCTCATAAGCCTTGCTTACTTTCTTTTTTTTAAAAAAAAAAATAATTATTAATTTTAATGAAAGTTTACAGAGACTGAGGATTTCCATTCATTCATTGTTGCACTTTTCTCCCTGCCCACCCTCCCCCAGTTCACATTTTTTTAAAAAAAATATTCATTCATTGTTACATAATTTCCTCCCTCCCTCCCCTTCCCCAGTCCACTTTGCTATATACCTCTTATTCTGTACTGTTGTCATACAGATGACACCTAATCATATATTCCTCATCTCTTCCAATTGCAGTGTTCATTATTTATGCCCTCTTTCTCGGTTTCTCCCCAGCCCTCCACATTAATCCTGCTTTTTAATAGTGATGGTATGCAGTATTTGTCCTTTTGTTCTGAGATATTTCACTCAGCATAATGTCCTCTAGGGTCACCCATGTTCTGGCAGGTTTTTAAGAAGCAGTTAATCAACATAGAGGAGACTGCCCTTCCTTCTCCCATGGGGCTGCTAGTAAATGCAAACTGCATGCCTTCAGGATTGCAGCACAGGTTTTTACCACTGGGCCACCAGAGCTCCCTACATAACTCTTTAGGCTATCATTAATAAGACATGAAGTTTGACAAACTGCACCAATCCAAGGCTCTGCACTTGGTGAGAATGGTGCAGGAGAGGGCAGGGTTCATAGGTGGTGTTGAAAGGGTCGCTAAGAGTCACCGTAGCCTTGATGCCCCTAACTGTGCACACTCACAATGGTCTGTGTTCAGTGGCTGAGGAGACATGGAATACCTGCCCCTTCCTGCCCTCTCACCTGAGCCATGGTTCAGCACGGATTGGTGGAGGCTAGAAGACCCGAAGTAGGAATGTTGAGTGTAGCTGGTCAGAGCGGCGGGTGTGGAGCCAGGCAGCGCTGTCAGACTCTGGCTCTTTGTCACCAGCAGTGGGCTCTCATGCTTCCTAGCAAACTGGGAGTGGGGAGGGAAGGCATATGAATAAAGGACAGAGACTCTCAAAGCAGGGAAAGCCATCAGCCCTGTAGAATGCTGCAGAGAGAAGTTGGCCTCTGGAAAGCAGACCTGAACTATACCCAAAGCTTCTAGACACAACATGCTGTTGCTGATTTTATTAGGTGGTGGTGGTGTGTACCATAGAGTAGGAACCGACCCACAGCTGACCTTCCAGCAGGTTTTTAGAGGCAGTTTATTGCATGGAAGGAGACTGCCCATCCTTTTCCCATGGAGCAGCTGATGGCCTTGAACCGTGTGCCTTTGGAATTGCAGCACAGCTTCTTGCCACTAGGCCGCCAGAGCTTGATTTGGTTAGGCGCCACTGACTTCTTTCTAACTTGCAGCAGCCTCCTGTGGCAGAGTTGTACTTCTCCCCAGCCAGGCTTCTACAGGCTTTAATCTTTAGAAGAATCTTTAGGTCTTTCTCCCACAGAGCCACCAGGTGAGTGTGAAGCAATCTTTCAGTTAGCAGCTGCACATTTAAACACTGCACCACCAAGTTCTGTGCAGAAACAGTACAGCTACCCTCTACTATGCTCAGCTGTTTCTCAAAGAACTCCCAAGAGCCCTGTCACATAGCATAGCTTTTACTCCTGGAATCCTCCTGGACTTTATCAGGAGGTAGCATAACAAAGTGTTTAAGATTCGCCATGTGGAGTCAGAAATTGGGCAACTGGGATTGCCAGGTTTGGTTACTTATAAACGATTTGGTTCAAACCTTAGGCAAGTGACCTTAGGCAACCTTCTCTGTGCCTCCTTAGGCTCCTTTATAAAATAAGATTAATGTCTCCTGCCTCCAGAAACTCTATGAACTTTAATAAATGTTGATAGTTATAGAGGGGCTTCAGGCCTTTTGTTCACAGGGTCGTTATGAGTCATGCTCAACTCTAAGGCAACCAACAACAACAAACAGTTGTGAGAATTGAAAGAGATGATGCATACACTATGCATTGCACCAGATCTGCTTCTAAAAGTATTCAACAATGGTAAACAAGAACCAAATGAAAGAAGGCAGGAGAGCTACGGGACCTCTTCTAAAAGCAGAGTCCTCTAACTCCATGCCTCAGCTGAGGCAGTGACTATAATATGAGTGTCTGGGTGAGTGATGTGAGAGTTAATTATGTACAACGTTAAGGAACAACATTTTCTTTATACTTCAAGCACAAAAATGATGCTGTGTAATACGAGCTAACATGAGATCTAACTCAATAAACTCTGCTGTTGATTCAGAAACATCCCTCTTCTCAGTTCTGTCAAATCTGCTCTTAGGGAGGTGCCTCCTCAGACTAAGGTACTAAGGTTTTTAACAAAGATATTACTGCTTCCAAACAGACCTAAGCCTAAAATATTTTAGCTCAACGGGCATTTGATGGTACCTCCCCTTCTCATTAACTTTTGTAAAAAAAAAAATACCAAAAAAAGTCTTTGAGTTCTTAACTGCCTAACTAGAGTAGCAGAGAGTTCCACTAAGATGAGGTCCAGAGGCCCAGCATAGATAAACGAATGATTCCTTATCCCCTTTACCATCGATGCATCAATCTGAGCCAGAAGGCGAGGATTGTTCTGTTCCACTGCTTCCAGGCACTGAAGCATGGCTGTGACGTGAGCGTCACTTAGCAGGAAAGCAGTATCTGCAGAGAGATAAAGGGCAAGAGGGACATTAGCTTCCTTCTGTAGCCCTGCTCGAAGCTCAGGAAAGGGGACAGAAAGAAGGTGCAAATGAAGAGAACTTGGTCACTGTGGGGAGAAGGAGAAGCAGGGAAAGTACAGTATAGGAAAAGCTAAGTAATATGCAGGAAAGGAGGCCAAAACCAGAGGCTTCAGGATCAGAAAGACTAGAGATCTGAACTAGAAACAGGACAATCTGGATACAAAGATAATGCTGACAAATCGGAAAAATCTAACTATCGTCACTGAACAATGTGTGCCGAAATTACAGATATATAAAACAGCATTATTTTTTTTAAAGACCCAGATTCGAATCTTAGTTCATTAGCTAGGTGACAGTGGCCAAGTCACTGAATCTCCTTGAGCTCTGGTTCCCTGATTGGAAAATAAAGGTGAAAATATAAAATCCCAGAGTTATCGTGAAGAGTGTATGTATAAAATCACATAACAGCAATCGACACATAGGAAATTCTCAATAAAGGAACATTATTGGTTTGTATACATTGAAATAGGGGAATTCCTTAGCAAAAAGTGTGACTGTATTTTATGGAAAGTGAGAGAGAAGATTGGAGCCATGTTTCTAATCAGGATCTCTATGCCATCAAGTGAAGTAAGGCTCTTCAGGTTAGAGAGAGAGAGTGGATAGGGACAGGGAGGTGGCAGGGAATCAGGAAGCACATGGAGCCCCCCTGGCGCAGGGACCACCACCCACCTGTGTAGAATTTTCTGATGTACTGCCTGTCCCCCAGCAGAGGCCGGAGCTGGGCTGAGAGGCAATGACACTGTAAGCTGTGCTGCAGCCACAACTCCGCAACGGCGCGCTCGCTCACAGCCTCGGCGCTGCTTTGGCCATTCTCGTGCAAGCTGATGAACTGGGAGGCAAAGGGACACGAATCAAAACACATTCTGGAAGATACAGCAAGAGTGATGCCTAAGAACCTGAGGACTAGCATCTTGGAGTTGCTGAGGAAGGAGAGAAAAGGAAGGAATTAATGGCTTCACTGCTGGGTGACGAATTTAAGTGCTTAAGACATCATATAAGGTTTCAGAAAGAAGATTAAAGCTGCTAGATTTAGGTCTTTATGTGTTAACTCCCAAGAAGCACTGTTCTGATTTATATAAGGAAGAATGAACTTGATCGCTTTGCTTCTCTCCTAGAATCCTGGTAGCATCCAGTAAAAAAATATGACAAAAACTTGAGTGAAAGAATCTAGGGAAGGAAGCTCTGGTGGCCTAGTGGCAAGAAGCTGCACTGCAATCCCAAAGGCACGCAGTTCAAATCCACCAGATGCTTTACTGGAGAAGGAGGGGCAATCTCCTCTTGTGCCAGTCAGATCTGATTAGACAGCACACAACCAGAAAACAAAACAAAAAATCTAGGGGAAATGCCACCTAAGAGGAGCCATGCAAGCACCTCTATTTTACATTCTAGTCCATGGGAGGGAGCTCTGGTGACCTAATGGTCAGAAGCTGAGCTGTAAACCCAAAGGCGTGCAGTTTGAATCCACCAGCTTCCCCTCAGGACAAGAACAGGCAATCTCCTCCCGAGTGATTAAGTGCCTCTTAAACCACCCACCGGAGGGTCAGCTACGGGTTGGTTCTGACTCGATGGCACTCAACAACAGTAAGTCAAACAGGATTTTCTATTTGGAGCATCCTTCTACTCAGCTATTTCTAAAAAGCAATGTCTTACAGTTCATAATAAAAAAGCATGTGAACGGCAATTTTAATGTATGAATGACATTTATTTCCTCCTAAGGGGAAGTGACTATAGCAACACAGTTTAGAAAAAGGAAGGTAGATGAGGCTTAGTAAGGGGGTGGAGAATAGTGGGAAGGACAGAGAACATCTACATAGAAAGTCACTGGCTCTGGTCTGCTCCTTGGTTGTTCAGAAGCAAATTTCCTTTTTTTGACATCGTCTCAGCTGTACCTCTCAGAGGGGGTGGGGCAGACAAGTACTGACGACAGGTGATTAGATACTTGGCAGTTGATTATACTATTCTTGCTAATTTTGCATCTCTTTGGAAATTTCCACAATATGTATGGTTAAATAAAAACACACATAAACTCAATAGCAACTGTAAACTAACAGGAAGTCAGAGTGCTACGCTGGTTGCCAAAGCAGTAAGGAACACATCTGATTCCATCTAACACTGGCCTCCAAAAAGTCCACATTTCCTTCCATATTCATAGATATGGTGAATATAGTAACATTTTTTCATTTCTTCTCCAAAGGGGAAAAAGTGACCTGGACAATAGGCTTCTAAAGCTTATTAAAAAAAAATACATAAAAAAAATTAAAAAAAGAGGCTAGAAACACTCTCATTCAATTTATCCCTATATCCTAGATACATTATTCTCAGTTCACTGTTTTTAACCTCAGTTAATAAGAAACTTTGACAGACTCCACTCTTACAGCCTAAGAGATCCTTCAGGCAGACCATCAGACAATGAATGAAGTCTTTGGTTACACACCCCAGAACACACACACACACACACACACACACACACACACACATCCCCTCTTCTTTGCTCCTTACCTTCTCCACATGAAGGGCTGAGTGGGGACTGAGCCACCGAATGTCCTTCACAAACTGCCAGTAATCGGCCTGGTGGCAACATACCTGAAACAACACACAAGTGAGCAAATCACAGCCAGTCAGGGGCAGACCTTCAAAGTGCCGACATTCAAAGAGAGGACGAAGGACCGAGCTGTCATTCGTCTCAGCAATGATTCTCAGCCACAATTAAAGGAAATCCTACATCTTTTCACTTCTTCGAAGGATAATCCTTCAAATGCATTTCAATCATCCTTTCATTGATAGAAAACATTATGGAGGGAGACTGGCTTCCAGCATGATGGCTTTAAAGAGTTCCACTGGGCCGCTTCATGAGAAGGCAGGAAAAATTATTTAAAAAACAATCATTCAAAGCATCTCGACGTGGTCTTAAGAGCTAATGGCAAATGAAGAAACATCTATTTGGAAAAATCTATGACCATTAAGAAAGGCAAGAGTGTGTAGTATTTAAACCAGAATCATTCTCTCTCCCCAAACCTATTTCTATTCCGTGAAGATTCTCCTCTAGACTGCTTTAGCCAAGAGCACAGGCCTGCCTCTTCCTGCAGCTCCCAGGAAGGGCTTTCTTCCCAGAAACAGCAGGACTCAGGCATTTCTAATCCTGCTTCCTGCTGCTGATATGAGTGAGACCAAGAGGTGGAGGCTCCCTTCTTTCATCCAGCCCTACTCATAAAGCAGAGAATCAACCTTGGGTATGGCAGGCTGGGAATACTGGGGACCTCATAGTCCTTCCCTTGGCTCATGAGTTTCATAGCAAGCCAAGCTGACCCCAGGCTGCTACCTCTCTTCTCTGGACATTTAGCTACTAGAGCCTAAGAGATTCTCCTAGATAAGACTACCTTTGTTCCCACTCCCAGCTTCAAGCCCCAACTCAGAGATTTTTTTTAGTGGGGAGAAGCAGGCCATAAAGCAGACAGCTACAAATCTCTCCCCAAAGGATGGACTTTATTTGCACCAAAGCAAAAAGAAATGTAAACTGAAGGAAGCTCTGAAGAACAATTAGGATGAAGCAAAAAGCAACTGGGTGGAGAATCAGGGGAACTAATGAAGACACAGCCTAGACTTTAGGTTGGTTTGTAGAGACACCATATCAGAACAGATCCGCTGCACTGAACACTAATGACCACAAACCAGAAGACTTGTGGGATGATACCAAGGACAGCATACAACAAGAAACAAAAAGGTCATTAATAAGACAATAAATAAAAGGCCAAAATAAACGTCAGAAGAGACTCTGCAACTGGCTTTTAAGTGTACAGAAACTAAAGTAAAAGGAAGAAATGATACAACAAGAGAGCTGAAATGAAGATCTCAAAAGAATTGAGAAGACAAAGAAAAGTACTATAATGAAATGTGCAAAGACCTGGAGTTAGAAAATTAAAAAGGGAGGTACATGTTCAACATTTCTAAAGCCGAAAGAAATTAAGAAAAAATAATTCAAGTCTTGAGTCACAATAGTAAAGGATACTATGGGCAAAATATTGAAAGATGCATTTAAAAAAATCAAAAGATGATGAAATATACTGATTCACTGTACCACAAGAACTGGTTGGCAATGACTCAATTTCACAGATAGCCTATGATCAAGACCCAATGATACTGAAAGAAGAAGTCCAGGCTACCCTGAAGGCATTGATAGAAGGGGAGAAAAAGCTTCAGGAACTGATGGAATACCAGCTGAGGTGTTTCAACAAACAGATGCAGCCTCCTTGGATGTGCTCACTCATATATGTCAAGAAATTTGGAAGACACGTACCTAGCCAACCAAATGAAAGAGATCTACTTTTGTGCCTTTGCAAAAAAAAAAAAAATCAGAATATGGAAAGTGATGAAGAGTATCATACACAAGTAAAACATTGCTAAAGATAAAAAAAAAAGGTTGAAGTAGTACACTGACAAGGAGCATCCAGAAATTCAAGCTGGATTCAGAAGAGGTTATGATGCAAAGGACATCATTGCTAATTTCACATAGATCTTGACTAAAAGCAGAGAATACCAGAAAGATGTTGCTGTTGTTGTTGTTGTTATGTGCCATCAAGTCTCCTGCGACTCATAGCGACCCTATGTACAACAGCCCTAAACCCTGCTCTATCCTGTGACAATTTATTATCTCCGACACACCTACTCCCATTACCCCAGTCACTGAATCAATCCATCTCATCAAGGGTCTTACTCTCCAAGTCCCTCTCCAAGGACTGGTCCCTCCTTACAACATGTCCAAAGTATGTCAGACGAAGCTTCAGAATCCTTGCCTCCAAGGAGCAGCCTGGCTTCACCCTTTCCAGGACAAACCTGTTTGTTCTCTTAGCAGTTCATGGTATATTCAATACTCTTCTCCAACACCACAGCTCAAAGGCATCAATTCTTCTATAATCCCTAGTCATTGTCCAGCTCTCTGACGCATAGCAAGTGACTGCAAAGACCATGGCCTGTATCAGACGCACCTTAGTCTCCAGACTGCCATCGTTGCTCTTCAGTATTTTAGAGAGGTCTCTAACCACAGACTTTCCCATCACAATATATCTTTTCATTCCCTGGCTGCTGATGCCAAGAGAAATATGTATACTTGTTATTTTATTGGCAATGTAAAGATATTTGACTATGTGGATATATTGAAAAGGGTGAGGATCCCAAAACACTTAACAATACTCATGTGGAATCTGTACATACATATGCCAGTAAGCAACAGTTTGAATAGAACAAGATGTTACTCTGTGGTTTAAAATTATAAAAGGTGTGAGGCAGGGCTGCATCCGTTCCCTATGCCTATTCATTCAGTAGGGAAATCTGGTGGCTTAGCAGTAAGGAGTTATACTGACAATCCAAAGAAAGGTAGTTCAAATTCACCAAATGTTAAAAGGGAGAAAGATAGGTAATCTCTCCTGAGCAGTTTATAGGCTCTGAAAACCTGCTGGAAAGTCTGGCATGAGTTTATTCCAACTTAATAGCACATAACAAGCACCACATTCATTCTTTATGACAAGCAAATAACCCAAGAAGCTAGATTATACAAAGAAGAATGTGGGCTGGGGGACGGGGAAGAAAAAAAGAAGAATGGCATCAAGCTTGGAGGAAGACTCATCACACTGTACATTATGGCTATGACACAGCCCTGTTTGTCGAAAGTGATGGAGACTTGAAGCATTTACTGAAGATCAAAGACTACATACTTCAATATGGATTATATCTCAATATCATGAAAATAAAAATCTTCACCACTAGATCATTATTGAACATCATGATAGATGGAGAAAAGACTGAAGTTGTCAATGGTTTTCACTTTACTTGGATCTGCAATCAACACCAATGGTAGCGGCAGTCAAGAAATCAAAACATGTGTTACTTTGAAATATCCACTGTCAAAGACCTTTCCAAAGTGCTAAAGTGAAAGGATGTCCCTTTAAAGACGAAGGTGTGCCTGACCCAAGCCATAGTATTTTCCATTGCCTCATATGCATGTGAAAGTTGGATAATAAATAAGGAGGATCAAAGAAGAAATTAAATCTTTGCATTTTGGTATTAGTGAAAACTAGTGAATATATCCTGAACTGCCAAAAGTACAAACAAATCTGTTCTGGAAGATGTACAGTCAGCATATTTAATCTCACACACTTTTGGCATGTTGTCAAGAGGGGTCAGTCCAGTGAGCTCTGGTGGCCTAGTAGCAAGAAGCTGCACTGCAATCCCAGAGGTGTGCGGTTCAAATCCACCAGATGCTCTGCTGGAGAAGGAGGAACAATCTCCTCCTGTGCCAGTCAGATCCGATTTGACGGTACACACAAAAATAATAAAAAAATTTTAAAAAGAGGGGTCAGTCCCTTGAAAAGGGCAATATGATTGAATAAAGAGTAAAAGAGTGGAATGCTTTCAACAACATAGACTAATACAGTGACTACCAATGGGCTTAAGCTGAGCAGACTGTGAGGATGGCATAACACTGGACAGGGTGTCATTCTATTGTACATAGAATAATGTCAACCTGTTGACACCGAAGAACAAAAACAATTGTTTGGAGGAGTCTACTTAGGCTCAAAACTATCACACACCTACATTTACTCCAATATGATTAACAGCTCACTTTTCAGCAGAAACAATGGTGAACAAAAGGCAGTGGAACAACTGTTCCAATTGAACAAATGTTCAACTGTCAATCAAGAAGTCCATACCTAGTAAAGCTATCTTTCAAAAATAAAGGCACTACCAAGTGAAAAAGACTGAGCAAATTTGCTCCTAATAGGCCCACTTCACAAAAAATACTACAGATCATGCAACAATTAATGATTTTTTTTAAGTGAACTAGGGAGTGAGGGGTAGGAAGGAAAATGTGCAACAATGAATGAATGAAAATGCAGCTTTTCTGTAAACTTTGGTTAAAATTACAATTTTTTAAAATAAGGAAGAAAGGAGGAAAAATACTACAGTAAGTTCTTTAGATGAAAGTGACCTTGGGCCATAATTCAAACACAAATGTATGAATAAAAAGGCTATCCAGTAAAAGAATCCATTTTCAAACCCTGATTCCTTCCCATTCAGATGTACAAAATTTCTTAAAATGGTTGAAAATGTTTTCATTAAAAGCTAGAATGGATGTCTTCAGTCCCTACTGCACACATGAATAAGTTCAGAAAGACCTGCTACGTGGTGAGATAGAACCTTGAGAAAGAAATTCTCAAGCTGAACATATTAACAAAATCTTTATATTATAAAACCTTAGCTCAGTTGTACCTGTTAGCATTTCCACTTTAATAATTATGTGTATGTGCTGCAATCCCTAAGGCATGCGGTTCGAATCCACCAGATGCTCTGCTGGGGAAGGAGGGGCAATCTCCTCCTGTACCAGTCAGATCTGACTTGACTGTAAATAATAACAACAAAAAATATGTGTAATGATAAAATAAGTATTTTTATGAACACTGAGTAGTATGCTCTGAAAAGCCTCAAAACAAGTTGCTGTTGTTATGTGTTGTCAGGTATAAGTCAAAGAGACCCTATGAACCCCGTCCTATTCTGCACTGTCCTCATCATCCCTGCCATACTTGAACCCA